ATGACTCCAAAAACTTGCACAGGAGCAGTACTGCCCATTATAAAGAACTTCAGGTTCGAAGATAAGAAATGCCTCTCCGAATCTCAAGTACCAGAATGAACTATTATATATTTTTGCTCTTTTTCAATCTAATTCCATGATCACTAATAGAAYAGTCTGCCACAACTTGGAGGCAGAGTGGCCTTAAGGCAGTTTCCTTACAGTTTTTCTCCCTAAAGCTCCATGGGTGCTTTTCAAGCTTGTTGCTCATTTTTGCTATTTTAGCCAAGTTCCCTCAGCTTCTCACAAGCCGTGAGCTGGACACGCTCTCTGAGGGCTCTGTAGCCTCCCAAGCACAGCTGCAAGCAGCAGCGTGAGAGGTGAAGGCAGGAACGACTTGGCCTCCAAAGAGATGTGAATTGCTTACTTCAAAAATGAAAGCAAAACTTCTYGGCAAGGACGGAAGGGAAGGTGAAGGACAGACAGACTGAAAGGCTTCTACAGTCAGGACTTTTTGTAATTATCATTTTCTCAAGCTAAAYTAAACCCCTGTCATGCTCGTGCTATCACCTGGTGTTGGCAAACCGTGGAATGGTGAAACTCTTACGCCTACATAGGGCTGATGAGGAGAAGCAGCAGACTTTTATGATAGCAAAGCAATTTGTTTAATGGCCTGTGATTTAATTTCTGTTTTTTTTTTTTTTTTGTTTTTTTTTTTTCATGTGCCAAGAGTTTATTCTGAGGATGGCATTGGAATAAAGTTGCCTTGGACTTTGGTTTTCACTTGTGCTCCTGCACTATCGCGTGCTGCCATGGGCAGGTTTCCTGCAGTGGCCCTTCCCTGCCTGCCTCGGTGCAGACACTGCTGAGGACTTCAGTGCACASCAGGTTCTTGTTTTGTTTCCTTCCTGCCTGCCCATGAAACACACGGCTCCCAGCACCCATCGCAGAGCCCTTCCTACTATCTACGGGAGTCAAAAATAAGAGCAGCACCCTCTAAATTAGCCTTTGGGGCTAAAGGAAAGACTTGTACTTAAAGAGAAGGCTGGCAGAATTCACCTAACTTGACTGCTTACGTAAGTCTGCAGTCACTTCTTATCTGCTATTGTTCTTCTCATGTATTCATTACCTCATTATGGTTCTAAAAGCAATTGGCTCAAATAGCTGGCCAGTAAAACGAGCCAACCTTTACCTCCAAGTGCAGCAGGCTGCTCATTTTTTCCTCCCTTTTCTTCTTCTTTTTTTTTTTTTTTTTTTTTTTTTTTTTTTTTTTTTCTGCCCAAATCCACCCCTTTGCCCTTCAGGTTAGCAAGGCAGTCAGAGTCAGACCCAGCACACTCTCAAGACCACAGGCCGGAGCTAGAGATGATGCTCCTGACCCATGCCCAGCTCCCTGGCAGGCAGAGCCCCCCTCACTTCAAGGGGAGCTCTCAGGGCAGCCACGGCCCCGGGGTGACCCCCGTAGCGTAGGCAACGCTCTACAAGTTTATAATTAATAAATGAGTAGAAAAGTCATTTTTTTCTGCTTAGAACGCTGTTAATAAACACCTGGTTAATGGTCTGATTGACCGCTGTGCAGATGGAGGGCTGATGGTGACTGAGGTCAGAACTTGTTGAACCTGCAGGGCCTGTTTGGCTGTGGTGCCCTTGGTCACTGTCCAGCAAGAGAGATATAAGGAAACCGAGTCAGAGAGCAAAGCCTTTACTGAGGGGCTGAAGCCAGCATTTCTTAACAGTATTTTGTAGTCAGAGGGACTAAATAGCAGCAAGGCTCAATCCTTCAGTAGCTGCTGGGCATCTGGAGTCTACGTACATGTGGGAATCCAAACTAGCACCGTTTCTTTGCTGGTGTTATTGGGCTTACTCACTATTGGGCATCTTAATTAGGCTCCACGCGCCAAACAAATGCAAAAGACAAGGCTGGTAGTCCCAGTAGTGAGAAGCAGCTCATTTGTACCCACTCTGGCAATGCAGTGCTAGACAGTCTCAGCATTTCTGCTTCTCAATAGAGGCAGGCCCTCTGCTTGGCTGTTGGCAAGCGCTGTGGTTGCTCTGCTTCCTGCCTTCCCATATGGTAGCTTATTTCAAAATAAGGCACTCGCAAAGAGCACAATCTAAAAAGCTGGCAAAATGCTTGGGAGGTTACAGTGAACTCCAGACGCACTCGTTTGCCTGGGCTGCAGTGAGGGCTCAGCTTCTACCCCCATGGCCTTAAAGCCCTGGAGAGGAGCAGAGTTCTTGGAGGTCCTGGGCTTCCTGTGGTGGAAGCTCCTCTCCTGCTGACAGTCCTTGCAGCACCGCAGGCCCTTGCTGGGAAGATGGTGAAAGGAGCCTGAGAAAGAGGAGAGACCTCAAAAGGGCAGCTGGGCCCTTCTCAGTATCTTGGTGCTCCTCTTCAAAATGGACTTGAGAAGGAGCTCTGAAAGGAGAAAGAGCCATCCCACTTGTCTTCCCTTGTGCTGGAGCTCTCACCCCACATCCTTGGGAAGAGGCAGCAAGCATGGACAGTACAACCACCTCTCAGTGCTGCTCATCCAGGATCTCCCAGATCCTTCTGCAGCACCTGGTGCTCAGCCCCAGGAACCCCCAGAGTGCCACATGGCCCGTGTGTCCTCACAGCCGCCTCCACCCTCATGAGCCGCTCCAGGCTCAGATCCCGGTGCTGTCCTGGTTTGTAGGCCTGCAGCTCCTCCCACGTGGAGCAAACCCGGGCAGGCAGCTGCTGTTGGTGCAGGTTGTCAGGTCACAGTCACCTTGCAGCCTTGGTGGTGCCAACTTTCTGTCACGTTTAGCTGCTCGCTCCCCAGACTGGGCTGAAGGACATCGGAGGAACCACATAGGGTGCAAGGGCATCTCCTTCAGCGTTTCCTCAAACACCTTCTCCACTATTGATCGGCCTGATTGCTTAAAGGATTCCCACTTAAAAAAGGAGAATGGTGGTGGGGGCAGAAGGCAGGTGGCTGCTTTGGGCAAAGCCATCTTGCTTCTAAATTCATCACCATTAAGCCCACATAGACCTAGAATCACAGAATCCTTATGGTTGGAAAAGACCTTCAGGATCATCAAGCGCAATGGTCTTGCCTGGAAATAGCAAAAGAGCACAGTGAGGTGTATCCTCACTGTAAATCCCAATCATCTAAGAAGGTTTTAAAAAAAGAAGTTTCCAGTCTGTTTTCTCCATGAGTGGTTCACTTTCCAAGGTACACCCATTGGTCTGAGATTTGTAGAAAGCCAGACTCACCAAAATCAATGACATCAACTTTAATAAACTTCACAATAAAGGCAGTTCATCAATTACTACCACTATTTTTTTCTCCTGCCATAAGGGTTCTGCAGCTGTTTTTATTTTAAAATAGTCCAGTACAAAATAAGAATATGCAACTGGAAATTACACAAATGATCAGGCACATGGAACGAGGATGAACTTGTCGCTGTGCAGAACAGCCATGCTCTGATTTCACCAGCGTGATCAGCTGGCCCGTTGTCCTGACTGCTGCTGGGCCACTGTGCACCTCATGTCACCTCACCCTCACCTCACCCTCACCCTCACCCTCACCCTCACCCTCACCCTCACCTCATGTCACCTCAGCTCACCGGACAGCCGCCCACAACCACTCTCTGCAGCCTGGGTCGTGCCATCACGTCACTATTTGCAGCAAACTATTACTGTTTGGAACTCTGTAGTTAAGATTTGTGCCTGAAAAAAGGCCTATTATTTGCAGGGTGTTAGCCTTCTTGCTCCAGTTTAAGACTTAACAGACCATAAATGATCACAATCCATCGTACTCAGAGCCTTCAACTGCTTCTCTTTAATACAAATCATTCATTCCTCTTTTTTTTTAAAGTGAAAAAAATGCATAGGCTAAAAGCTAAGAATTTAAAGCTAACTTTATTTTGAAAATCACATAATAGAAGAAATTAATGCACAATATGAACTGACATTGTAATYTGGGCATAACCTGCAGTGGTGGTTATGCTTGTGTAATGGGGATGACCATTCAGCTATTTTTCTACTTAAAAGCATGGCAAGGATTCAGAGTAATGCTTATCTTTTTAGCTGTGATTTAGCTTGTAATTAAATTGGCCAAATCAAGTGAAGAAACCTTTTTTCTTTCTTGTTCTTCTTCTTTTTTTAAATATCTGTAAGTCTGTGACCTAAGAAAAAAGACATGAAAAGATTTCAGTCTCAAAGAGCAGTTGATGAGCTGCTTTGAAGCCACTACAGCCTCATCTTTGCTTTTATCAGAGATGCTTCTAGCTACTAAAAATGCTAAAGCGAATTGTCCACAAGTGTTTTAAGAACTACAGAGAAACACAATYGAGAGCAAGTTTAGCCTCTAGGGACCTGTTTGCAGTTGCAAGGATCTATTAATGATTTYAGTGGTGATCCAGCTGGGCTGAAAACGGCAGCAGACTCTCTGTCCCTCGAGGTCCCAACGGCTCTGGCAGCGTAGATGGTGACAGCTGAGATGATTTCACGCAAACATCCTGTGTCTGCCAGCCCTTGGAAGGAGAAATGCAGCCACGTGCTGATGTTAGTTATTTCCCAGTTTAATCCACATGGTAGATGTCTTATTTACTACCAGACATAACAGCTCAAATTCAGACGTGCAGGGTCCCCTCCGAATGCCCAAAGTTTTGCATGTCAGAAAGGCTTCACAGACGAGAGCTTCTTGAGCAGGGAGGACCAAACAATAGGAAATCCTGAGGAAGGATTATTAGTTTTGTCTTTAGGTACTGAGGCATCCGCATCTACAAGAGCTTCTATTTCTTAACCAGAACAAGTTCACATGGCCTCAGTGCTAGCAACCCGACTGGGTTCTCCAGCAAAGACCAGGCTGTGCTTTCCTCTCTACATGAAATGAGGCTGTTAAGCATCTCAAGGACTTTTTTGGCAAAAATTGAGGTACCTGAAGATTTCGAAACTCTGTGGCACCTTTAGCAGGGTTTTGAACACTACACTTTTGGCAAGAGATTTGCTGCGGATCCAGCCATATGGACACCAGTCAGTCCAAAACACCATTCTACTGATAGCACATATGCTCTTTGTTGGACAAAAAGCCATCAAATGCAGATTAACTCTGCTCAGTACAGCCTTCAAAATATATTCTGATGTGCCCGAGAAGCAGATCAGTTCGGTCACTGTCTGTTTTTATATAGTGATTTTGAGGTTGCCAAGACAGGCACCAAGAGAAAAGAACTAACCAAGGATCCAATGAGCTTAAGGTGAAAAAGCTGCACCCAAATAAAAGGAAATCAGCTAATTTAAGGAGGCCAAATTTTAGAATGCTCGCTTTGCAATTATTCAATGCATTAAAACAAATCTGCAGAACTTGTAATATTAATGGGCTGCTGCTGTGTCTTTTTTATTTTCCTTTATTGTAAGTGGGAAAGCAAAGGTACACCGAGTGAGTTTAAGTTCTCTTATTGTCTTATTTAGAAACAGTGTGAGGCAGTGAGATGCATTTTTAGGAACTGCTTAAAAAACGGCCATATACTTTATCTTCAGATGGTTGGTACACACCAGTTCAACCTCATACGAACGCTCCAGTGGGGATAAAAGGCCTTTTCTTTTGTCAAAATCATTTTATTAAAGAGTTAATGTCACAACAAGTTCAAAATAACACATGCTTCAGAAATAAATGTGATGAAAAATACTCCAAACAGAAATATTTATGTTTTCAAGGCATGGTTAAAGCATCAGTTGCAAGAAACTTCTGCAAATAGGTGCAAATTCTGTCAGTATAATGGAAAAACTCAGTAAAGGAGCCTTCTGGCCATTTCTTCTGCCTCTATATTGCAGCTTGTGTAATAATTTAAATCAGAAAGGGCCTAATTTCCATGGCTGCATAGACCAAAATGTATTTCTTCAATAATTAGCCTCAGCACAAWTTTTTCACTGAGTACTAACAAAACAAATTTAGCTGACAACACAGCAATATACATATATATATATTATATACATGATAAATGTTTGACTCATGCAGCCTCAGTCACATTTTTTTTTGGATTTACTCAAGAAACATTATAAAAAAATAGGTTTGCAATTTGTATTTCGCTCCAGCTTTAGCTCCATATCACTTCAGGCAAAGATAACGTTTCAGGAGATAATCTAATTGGCAAGAAATCTACCTTTAATTCTTAACTCCCTTTTTGTAAATCCACGTAGAAAATAAATGCGAATTCTTTATACAAAACAAGAGCAAATAACTGTACCTATATAAAAGGGGATTCATTCCTTCAGTTTTATTACCATGGCACATTATAGTTTCACAACARCATACTGATTTTCATTTAGTTTTTTAAACCCCAAGACAGTGTTGATGAATGGAAGAATGTGAGTTACCATAGGCAGCTGGCTCATGCATTAAGCAATTCATGTTCTCTATCAGTTTTCCCAACAGCATCAGGATTGGATAACGGGTCAAGGTCAGCAAAGAGACTGAACCAAGCCGTCAAGTCTTTAGGATTCCTTGTAGCATCTAGAGAGAGAAAAAAAAAAAAAGCACAAACTTGGAGTATTTACTTGCCAGCTGTTTTAAAATAAAACTAATTGACTGTTTGAATGAGGTCAAACACCATGATATTATTTCATTTATTAAGGCATCACTAACGAGACAATCAGAACGGGTAATTACGTTAAAAATATATTCAACTGACTATGATTTTCTTTGTATGAATATGTTGCACATCTGTTTCCCTGTGCATTTTGAATGCCTCCTGCTATAAGTACAAGAATACTTAAGTTCTTTAAAAACAGAAATAACTTCTCTGTGTCGAGCTTTTTGCAGAACCGGCTTTGCTCCAGGAAAGGCATCGCTTGGGCTTGCACAAGTGCCTGCAAAAAACTCTCAGTAAGGGAAACCAGCTGTAGCTTCAACTACATCTCATCTCTCACAGGACCAAATTCCTCAATCTAAATCCAGTTTATGTGACATTTTGTCCCCCTGTATGTGACCCTCCTGCACTGCCCTACAGTGCCATGACTCCTCTGGAATGCAGTTTTAATGGGAAGGCCTTGGCTGGAGAGAGAGGGTAGGTTTGATAGCTGATCCAGGCCCTGTACAGCTTCCAGTACTACACTGTACTTTTTGATTGTTTCTACTTTTATTCATAGAAAGAGAAGGAGTTTTGCAGAGCATGTGCCAACTATTAACCAGCTGCTGCATTTTGTAGCAGATGGAGCCTTTGAGGGATGGTGGTTTCACTCCTTGTCAGGATGATTAGTGATAAACGCAATGGAAGTTCACAAACATGTGAATCTGTGGTCAACTTCATGCCTGTGATCTGGGGCAAGGAGCCAGGAACTGCTCTTTGATGCCCTGTGGTGCTGATCCATCCAAAAGAATCTTCCCTTTCCTTTAAAAGGTAGTAGGCACCTGTACTGTCTGAAAGAGGCTGGTGTGAAAGGAGAAGCCTAAGTCAAAACAGAACTGTTTTCTCTCATCTATGAACCTTCTTGAAGGAGCTGGAAGAGTATTTCTGCTATCAGTGCCCCTAAGATGCCCGAGACAGTGAATAAGCACAGATGTTTCTTTTGACAAAGCAGAAGGAAGGCAGTCACCGGAGCGCTGAGCCCTGTTCCCATGAGGACTGCAGGCTGGCATGGGGATCCCSATTCCTGGCAGTGGCTCTGACAGCCATATGGTTGTCCCCAGGGATCTTTGTTAGCTGTACAACCCAGGCCCTCAGTGCTATACTTGGCAAGTTTTCTAATAGCAGCATGGGTTTCTTCTTTAAGTCTAGCTCAACTACAGAAGCTGGACTTTTGCAGCCGTATGTCTATAATGATACACACAGGTGTTTCTGCCTTCTCCTATCATTCCAAAAAAGCAGATGTTGAAGTTACAGAGGAGCTGCTATAAGATGGTGCATTGCCACCTGTCCTTTCTTTTGGGCGCTCCTGTGCACTATATGGATAGTGAAATACGTTGTGGTCTTCTACTTGAGAGGGATGAAACTCCAACACCAAGCAGAAGTGTTCCTTGGGAACCAAGGAATTTACTGACAAAAGAAAGGCTCTGCATGACATGACTTTTATCATTTCCCATGCCTGGGAAACTAGAGTATCTACCACTTGMATAAAACACAGATTTTAAAGTAACTGAATGTTGCTGCCTTTTCTGGTGCATTTATTGTAGCAGGGATGTCTCACTGTGTTCCCAAACAGTTCCCCAAACCTCTCAACTGTCCTCTTCTTCCTGGGCAGAGAAAGGTCATTCATTTCTTGTGCACTGAAGATCTTTACCATAGGTTTGACCCTATGCACAGAACAGGCTACACAGTGGCAATTCTACATTTTCTGGGCTCAGTTATCCAAAAAAACAGTCAGAAGCAGTGGGACTTTCCCTCAGTGGACGGCAGGACTAAGCACTGCTGCCTCAGCTACAACAAGCAAAGCAAGTTTCAAACAGGTAACCACTGAAATGAGGCATCCTGTCAATGGGATTTGCAGTTGGGGCTCCTCACCGTTATCAGTAGCATGTGTTCAAGCTACAGTGTCCTCCCAGGGCTTCAAAACAAACAGTGTTTGGTTTAGACCAAATGCATGCAGATGCTATGACTCAAGATGGAAGTGGCAGCAGAAACTGTGGTTTCAGCTCCCTCACCACACAGTAAATGACTCTCTGGACATACCACCCCACTGCAGCTTCCAAGGCCCCTGCTGCATGCACACATACATTTATCATGCATGTAACCAACACTGAAACAGTAATTCATTAGCAAATGTAAGATTATTGATGTATAGCTAATGTAAAAATATGTTTTATTATGATGGATTAACTAAGTAGAAGAGAAAAGGTACAAGATTCACGACTGAATAGGAAAAGCAAAGTAACTATAAAAGAAACATGTGAATGTGTCACCTTTGGGGGGTGTCTTGTTAGCGTTCACGCTGAGGCTGTTTGGTTTCTGTGCGGGCTGTGGGAGAGATGGAGGACTCGCACTGTTGGCTGCCCATCCTGCAATGCAGCAGCAGAGGAGCGTTAGAGTCAGGTAGCAATTCCTTTGTGAGCCCTGACACCCCTCACCCGCAGGTTGATGCTCCCATAGCGCAGAGGTCTACGCTGGGCTTGCAGCCCCCTGCATCTTTCCTCTCATACAAGGAATGAGCAGGCAAATTCTGTGGGCAAGCAACATCCTTAACATCAAGGATCTGCTCATCTGTTTCATCATCTCCGGATCTGGGCAACTGCAACATCTCTATAAACCTGCATTTGGCTAAAGATGAAATTTAGTGTCACTTTTCTTGTCACAGAAAGGCCAGGGCAGTAATCAGGTCATGCACAGAGGCTGGGGGAAGGACATCACTTACCTTTGGGATAAAATCTCACACTTGCTGAACTGCTTTTTTCTACTTTTATTTTACCGTTCTACGAACTTTCATTTCATTGGCAAGTCCATAAAAAATATGCAGAGAAGTTAGACTTTTAATTAATTTTGAAATGTTTATTTCTGAAAAAAAACCCCATTTATCTCCAAAGATCTTTGAAGAAGGAAATTCAGCATGTTTGACTTAAAGTTAATTTAAAACAAAAGTATTATTGGATATATTTTTTTTCCTTCTTTTTYTTAAAGGATCTTCTCAGCAAGGAGAGAGTAGCCAGGCAGGAAAAAATAAAGCCGGGTAGCCACAGCTTATTGTTCTACCACGCACCTTCCATAGCCCCACAGGAAAGAGAAATGATAAATACAGTGAGTGAGGCCAAGCCACAGAAGAAATAGGCTGGCAAGGTGAACCAGCGGTGGCAAGCCATGGAACTATACCAGGCAATAAGGGGACTTTTTTTCCTTAAAATCACTGGTTTAAGGTATTTAAATCCTTAGGCTATATCACATTTAGAGGACAGAGGTCATGTTTTTAACACCAAAGTCATGTTATAGTTATAGGTAGATGGCTTTGTTTTTCTAGTAAGTCAATTTTATCTCCTCTCAGTACAGACCTGACGATCTTCCATCCATTGAAGGGRTCTAGTCTATCCAATTCTGGATATCACATGTGATTTATTAATCCCTATTAATATATGTYAGCATTTCCTTAGTCTCTTTTTCAGCAAAGTCATAATGCCATCTCCTCTTTCTGCTCTTCCTCCTCCTGCCCTTAGTATTTCCTCTTTGGACACTTCTTTCGGATACTGGCACCTTGCATCCTGCGGCTACTCTACTCGCATGCAGTACAGGGATCATATATATTTGAGTGAAAGGTGATAAAGGCTTATGAACCAGTCTGCTTTTCTTGAAAATAGGATTTTAAAGTGTTTAGGGGAATTTGAGCTATAAATAGTAGAATATATGACCCTTAGCACTTCAGAACACCATATCTTTTTAGGTGTTCTATTTTTGTTATAAAAGAGAAGAATTGCAGAAGACATCACACACACCTATAGAACACTGGAAGGCTTTCGTTTGTCTACTGAAAGAAAATATTGTGTATGTGAGTGGCTGGCAAGGAACAAAGTGCAGTGGGCTAAGAGAGCACGGCCAAATCCTGACCTCGTAGAACTGAACGTGAGCGCTGCCTGGAAATGTCCCTGCAAGTTCCACCGACTTCAGTGAGATCAGGAATTGGCTCCTGGGGAATTCACTGGTGTTAGTTTACACTGATGGGACTGGCAGACCACTAAGCGAAACCCCGCAGAGCAGTTAACTATTTGTTTTTCTGGAATTTCTGAGTCCCTAGACTAAAATCTGATCAGCAGCATCTCCACGAGAGATGCTGTGCTCTGCTCTCCCTTCATTAAAACACAGGCAGCTCAAGCGCCACTTCAAAGCAGAGAAGAACCTAACCAGAAAGAGCTCCACCAAATAGACGGTGCTTCTGAACTCGGGGTTCTGTCAAGGTTTGAGAAAAGTTTGCCAYGGATTTTTTCAGAAATAGCTTTGTGTATCTCATTTTTGGTGCCCTCTCGCAGCAARTTACAGAGAACTTGCTGAAAAGCAAGCTGCAGGTTCTCAGCTTGGAAGGACCYGCTGCCTGCTCTGCTTTGGAGGAGGCTTCGTAAGGCAACCAGCCCAACCCTGCGCAGCGGGACGGCGAGGACACYGAGCGGCTCGCTCGTCAGCGAGCACCTTTGCGCTCTTACCGCAATTAAATTTAGAAATGCAACCTCTAAAATGACCCGCCGTGTAGATAAAAATAAAAGGGGAGTCCTTTGTGGGATGGACATGTAAATGGGGCCGTAAACATCACAAAAAAGAAAGCTAAAGCTCTCCCTGAGAACGCACAAAGGCAACTGAACTACAGGCCTGTGAGCGGAATGGATTGTACAGGATTTGTTGAGACCATGCTTTGCTTCTAATGCATATGTTTGTGTGTGTGTATATATATATACTTATGCATATATTTATAGATATAATTATATATAAAATATTTAAAATATTTTTAAAATTAATAAAAATAAAAATTTRAAAATAATTTGAAAATAATTTTACAAAAATTTTAATACTTTAATATTTTTAAATATTTAACATTTTAAAATAAATATATGTATATAAATACAATATATAAGTATATATTCTTATATATTATATATATATATGTATACACACACACACATCTCTATATACATTTTCAAACAGCACCTGGCAGTCCCATAGCAATTCAGAGCCTATTGTGCTAGATGCTGTCTATAAATGCAGCCAGAGAAAASTGAGAGTCAGGAATTCCTGACTGTAACAGTTTACAACCTGCACAGCATTGCGCCTGCTTTACAGATTAAGATCTGAAGCAGAGAGAAAACAAAGCCCCAAAGATTTATGAGTGTGCTTAATGTAAAATAAGTAAGTAATCCCACTGAAGTTAATAGAAAAGTTAATATGCTTAAAGTTAAGCATGTGAGTTTTAAGAATCTTTATGGTCTTAGGGCTGAATTCACACACACAGGAGGCATGCAACATCTAGGCTCCAGAACAGCACCTCACTCTGTGTAATTATTAAACAACTCTGGCAATTAGGAAAAAAATACAGCCGAATGCAGGATGTGCATCACAAGTCCTCAGTAAAAATATCCATAAATCACGTATTATTTTCTAGTATTTTCAGCTGTTATGTGTAGATATGTTTATTTTGCAGGGGATACTTCGTTCAAAAACAGTCTCCATTTCCRAATATATATTGACAGGGGTCAAATTATAAAAGCATTCCTTTGAAATGAAATGCAATCTAAGATTAAAACTGAGATTTCACAAGACTGAAGGAGGGCAGAATTTTACCTTCAATTCTCAAATAAGAAACAAGTAATTAAAAAAGAAGCATATTTTTGAAGGCTATCTTAAGTAGGCTGGAGTCAGTGAGGAACATGCTGATAACCAGATACAGCCACTCAGTTGATCAGCTGTTACTTCGCAGATGTCAGTAGATCAATTTATCAGGATCTTTCACCAGAGCTTTGGAAGCCTCTCTGAAAGCCTCCACATACTTCTCTCTTTCAGAACTATCTATGTTATTCCAAAAGAAATTGGGATATTCTGCTGACTAGAACTGTTTCTTTTTTTTTTTTTTTTTCATTTCTAGTGTTCCTTGGATGCAACATATTTGAGTTTAAACTTTGAGATATTCATAGCAGCATCTCCTGCAAATTAATGGGATGATAATATTCTCAGGGAGGCTATGCCATTTGCATCTTAAAAATATTTTTCTTTCAAAAATGTGTTTACACTGAAAAACAAGAGTCAACATAAAACTATTTATTTTACCACATTTAGTATTTCATTTAAAACCTGTTCAAGCCTCTGTATGATGGAAAAAAAACCCAACAAAAAACACCTCTCAATTTCAATAGATACTATCATAGCTTCTGGCTGTCTACTGTTTTAATTTGACAATGCAATGACTAAATCTTATTTTTAGTTCATATTTTACGTGTCGAATCCTGTGCTTTTGCAGTCTCTCCTCCTTTATCAATCACTCCTATACAGGCATGCACATCATCCTACGAAAAGCGTATCTAAAGTTGCATAGATTGCAATGGCAAATGTCCCCTGTGTGGCTTTCAGCCTGTGGTGTCTGGGTTGAAACCATTCTGCCAGTGTCTCCTACATCACCTTTCCTCAAATGGCAGGAAAGTGACTGGGWCAGCAAAGCCCCAGCAGCTGAATTCCCCCTCCAGCTTGCAGTGCTTATGGAAATACCCACCTGGCTGCTGTGGGGCAGTAGGAGGATGAAGGTGACTGCTGTTGACTGGTTTCTTACATATTCTATACAAAAGCCAGGCTCTTGGCCTCCCTCAGCACAGGCCAAAGAGCAGCAGGAAAGCTCTACTCTTGTTCCCCCTCTTTCCTTCTGCCTCCTGACAGCAGCTTGCAAAGACTGGATAAACGAACTGTGTAGGAGGAAGAGGAGGGTAAGACTTGTCACCTGCACTGATATGTGACCAACTGACAGGGCAAGCCCTTCCCATGTGCCTGAAGGCAGCAGGTGACCCCTTCAAAAAAGAAACAGTGAATGAATGCAACTGCTTTTCTTCCAGCTGCTTCAACTTCCAGCTTTTTCTGTCTTTCCAGACAAAATACAGAAGAAACATTTGGGCAGAGGAGGGCGATGAAAATTGTTCAGTGTTTCTTTGCTCCCTTAAAACATAGAGCAGTTGGGATTTCAAGAGTAAAGCCCAGTCAAACCCATTTCCTGTAACAGAAAGGGGCCTCAAGGGCCTACAGAACATTTCAGCAGACTCAGTAGAAATAGGCAAGAAAAAAACATGCAAGATAATTTTGACTTCAGGGCACTTCATTCACAAGGCTAGAAAAAAATAAGGCTAGAAAAAAAATGCAACTTTTTATATATTTTTCCAGGTCACATCTTGCTTGAACAACAAATTGCTCCAGGGATTTCACAGGGCCCCATCCAAGGCATCCGCACACTTCCAGGCAGCACCCTCCAAAGCATGAAACCGAACAAAGACACTAACTGGCCGGAGGCGTAGCCTCCTGCTAGCAGATCAGGGGAGCTCTCACCGTGCAGAGACGACTGCAAGTCGTTCATGTTTTGGTCTAGGAGCTGCGAGGGCAGGTAGCCGGAGGGAGAGGCCGTGGCGGAGGCCGTGGCGGCCTCCCCGTCCCCCGGGGCGGAGCTGCCGGCGGGCTCGGCGGGCGCCGCGTGCCCGAACACGGCCGTCCACTCCTTGCTGAACTCGCCCTCGTCCAGGGAGGAGGCGTTGAGGATCTCATTGAGCAGCACCAGGTCGTCCTTATCACTGGGCTCGCGCTCCAGGGACCTCACAAACGGATCCTTTGAAGCTGTCTCAGAAACATGGCAGAGAGGAAAGATAAATCAACACGCAAAGTGAACAAGCTAGGAACAAAACTCGTGTTTTTAAATACTCAATCTAACTTTTGTATGTTAATGCCAATGAAATATATTGGCCTGAATATTTGTTTGCTGTTTTAGATCCTGTTCCCTTGGACATCTGGGCCTGTAGCTTATGCAACAAGTAATTCCCTAATTATCTTCAAATAACCTCACTTCTGTTAAGACTCRTTTTTCCCTTAAAGAAAAACCCTGCAAAGACACTTGAAGATCTATTAAATACCACACAGTAACTCTACACAGAAACWCTGCAAAGTTTAAAACATGGCAGAGGACTGCTTTTATGTCCTTTTTTTTTCTCCGAGACATATATATAAAGTCTTTCTCAAAAAGAGATGAGATKGGTAAATCTGAAAATAAATGGGAGCTAGGGGTGAGACAACCTTTATGACTTTCTGCTCAGTGCTTGAATTACTCAGGTATTTCCCCATAAGTATCCTACCCAAAGTGAGACCACTGTTCAATGTGAAGTAACTTTTCTTTCACTTAATATTAAATTTCCATTAGCTTAATCAGAGCACTACTAGGGTACTGAGAACAAGGACCACTTTCCTTTTGACTCTTATGACACTGCTTTCCATCTAGCACTGGACAGCTAAACCACTGGAGCAGYTGCTCCTTCAAAGCATTTTTTTTGCTTTTTTTAATAAAAATTAAGTGTTTGTAGAAAACACAAGAAACTTGAGACCAAGATCATACTCATTTTTTTAGCTTATAAACCATTCTGCAAATGAAGTATCATGGAAACCCAAGTTTCCAGTATTGCTTTACCCAAAGCACTTTGAGCTGTGCTGTGGGAGTGTGCCAGTGACCAAAGTGGTGGTGAACAAYGTCGACAACGTCACCTTACTGAAACCCAGAGCAGTGTTTTTCACTATCACTCAYATGGTGAGGCACAGAGGCAACGTTAGTTTCCAAAGCTTTGATGGATCACTTGTGCTCTCCGACTTGAGTATAGCTTGCAGGGAGGCTGCTCATCCTTTTGGGCAAGGAAAGATCTTCAGGAGGGACAAAGGATGGAGAGCAGGAAAGTGGCTGCTACCACAGCAACTGGCTGTATTATTTAAACACAATTGCCTTCTCAGGTAAATTCTCTTAGTAGCTGTAATAATTTATAACAAAATGTCTGAAAGTGAGTCAAGGGGAAAAAGTGTGAAACTGTTTTAAAATAGGATGATGACTCAACATACACACCCACGTACTAAGAGACAAACCAAGACACATAAAATAAGGATTTTTATTCACTACTGAAGTTAGCCTTGAGATTCAGTTTCTTTCTATTTCCATCTACCTCTGCATTCCCTGCGAGGGCCGAAAAACAGCAACCTTACACACAAGCCTGCTCTCCTGATACTCCCACCAGACTATAACCAAAATGCCACAGAAAACAATTTGTTCTCATGAATTTGTGGTCCACTTTCCTGACTTCAGACAAACAGCAAAGGCTGTTAAGGCTCTCCAAGTATCTACAAGTTCTTCCTGCTCTCTAACTGCTCACCAGCTGTGGGGCGGAGGGCTAAATACTTCTGTAAGGAAAGGACATCTGCTATTGCAAAGGCACTTAACTATTCTCTCTGGGTGACAGCATCTCAAAACTGCTTTCAGAAGGTCCCTTCATGAAATCAGAAGGCTTGCAGGGGAGAATTAAAAGGAGTATCATGAGAAACAGATTTAAACAGTTAAAACATACTACTAAAATACGACACCTAACCATAAACTACTTTTATTATAATGGAAGAACAGGTTTTGAAGCAGCAGAGCTCAGAGCAAAGCTCCGGTTTGTCCGAGTGTCCCATTTCATTGGTCTCCACTGTACTGRAAGAGAATACAAAACCTGTAAATTTATATCGTAAGTTGGCTCTTTAGGTCTTGCTCTGCTGTGTATCACCATTAGAAAGCTGGGCAGTGACATCCTTCTTGTCTGAACAGCCTTTCTAGTTTTCTTGTAGAGACACCGCCCATGGGGTAGAGAAGGTGGCACTTCAAGCAAACAGCAATAAGTTCTACCCTTTTTTGGTACATAGTTCTGGTTTGTAAAGGTTAACTTGAAACCAGTCCTGTTCTTCAAGACATTACTCATCTCATACGATATCTATGATAGATTAGTAGAACGATAGGGGCTTTCTTACCTCACTGAAAAATGTTCTATTACTTCTTTTCCTGTTTCTTCTGCCCATTTTCACAGTAAAAAACCTTTCTTTGCTTGCACATTCTGCCACTAGCTATGTAAATATCCACAAAAAAACAACCTCTCGAAATAGCACTGAAAAGATTTCATGCCACCATAATCTCTTTTGTATTTGCTTGAACAGGCCTCTAACAGTGCTTATTATATTCCTTTGCAACCATGCTTTGTTTTGCTGGCATGAAAAAATAAACAAGTATATCTATTAAAAATAAACAAATTAAAATCATTTACAATAATACAGGACCAGAAACCCAGGAGAACTACCTTCTGAAAAACACATGAAAGTGAACCTCTAGCTATACAGGCAGAGCTAAAATTACACAATCTTTATTAACCTAAAGCTAGTTAGTGTGTAAAATGAGGGTAATGCGTTGATAGAACATCAACATAAGAACCTTTATCAGATGCAGTTGCCCCCACACTTGCTTTTGTRCTGCTTTAATAATTTCACCAAAGAAATAAAAATTAGACTTCTAATTGACATGGCTAAATTAAGTCTAAAAATGTTATGCATAACCTGAAATAAAAAGGTCAAAGAATGCATCTGAATGAGGGGAAAACCAGGAAAAAAGGGTTTCCATCAGACTCAAATCAACCTCTTCTATTGCACCACAGGAAAAAAAGGTCATCCTTACATTAAATACCCACAGACTAGGACTGCCTTTTGCATACGCAGCTGAGGAACCTTCCCTCTTTCTGCCTTCATGAGTGAAGTTCTAATTTTCTCAGAGGGCAAGAGACTGCCCACGGCCTCTACAAAGTCAAGGTGTTTGCAAACACASTGTTCCTTATCTACTATGAAGGCAGCACCTTCATTATCCCGCTAATACTCTCAGTCTGACTGACTGAACTGCACAAGGGGATTTTTTTGATGGTTCTTCGCTTGCTGTATGAATTGCCTCAGAAAAAAAAGTCTTCTGAGTTAAATGTGTGAAGAGCAAATGAAAAAACTACAAGCAATATTTTCACTCCATATGAGACATCACTATAAATTTTTGGCTGAACCCTTCAGATGCGGGTGCAATGAATGGTAAGATGTTACATCGTAAAAGAGGACTTTGGGAAAGGACAGCAAACCCCTTCATCTGCAGCTTTTCTGAAAAAAGCTGAAGGATAGGAGAAGAGCCTGGAATTAAATATTGCCTTCTTGTGTAAATGAAAAACAGCATAGTAGATTTAATTACCTGTGTGGCTGAAAGAAGTCATCAGTTCATGTAGGTTTTTGAGAGGTCTAAGTTTGTTTCTGATTTTTATGTTACTGTTATAAAATTCTGTGGTCACTGGCATGTACCAAATTAAGGATTATGATACAACATGAAGAGAGAAAAAAAAAAGAAGACTGTGAAATCTATAGAATGGGCATGGTGCACACCTCTGTGGGAAAAATATCTGCAGTCGCCTGTTGTGAGATGGTTTATCTCCAACAAGATTTACTTTACCAGGTATAGTGCCTCTGTATTGTGAATGAGGCTGAGTTTCCTTCAACACTGGTTATGTACAGCAACTTCATTCATAAACACAATGTTTTTTCAGATTAGGAAGATAATTAACACCCAGGATTAAAATTGTATTTGGTGCCTGTAACTCAAAAGAGGCTCAAATAAACATGCACAAGTGTTTCATACCGTTTTCTTCAGGTTGCAGGTCTAATAAGTCATCTACATCACCTAATGGCAAAAAGAAAAGCACCAAAGGAAGATTAGTAGCATACTGTTTTTTTTTAGATAATCAGTATTTACACATTTAAAGGTAGTTTCTYTTAGTCTCTTTACCTGAGTTCTGCTTGTGGTTAAAATGTCCCTGTAACGTGGATAAGACATCCTTGCCGTCATCAGCTGTAATGAAGATGCAGACACAGGTCACATGGTACTCAGCAAAGAAATACGTTCAAACAACGTCACTGGGGGCTCAACATGCAGTAGTTACTGGCATTCAAGTTTAAAGCGCACCTTGTCACAATGCACAAAAGACCCAAGATGTCAGTAGCTCTAAGTGAGTCAAATTTCTGCAAAATAACCAGGGGGGATTGTCCTCTGAATCACTGCCTGACACTCTAGCTCATCTCCTGGCTGAAGCATCTCCATATCCATATCGAGAAGGGAAAATACATCCTCTCAAATGTAACTACTTTAAGTACTCTGGAAGTTTCCTAAGTTAGACATGTAGTCAAAATAAACCTCTAGATTCCCTCTGCAGGCAAAGAGAGAGACACCTCCTACACTTGATTAATCCCATTTAAGATACACAGTAAAACATGAGGGATGAGTTGCCTGCTGAACATGCCTTTCTATCCCTATTAAGTATTGGGAGAACACAGCTCCTCCCCAGCCCAGCCAGGAGCTGTAAGGGCCGAAGAAGGAGCTTTCCCAGTACTGCCAGAACGTAGATTTGCTAGAAGCCTGAAGTTTGAGGTTGGAAAGGGGGAAAAAAATCCCTGGAGAGAAATAAAAAAATGAAAGTCAAATTATTCAAACAMTCAAACTTCAAGGTGCCTTCAGAACTAAGCAAAACAGAACAGTTTGCTGTTTGAATCATACTATTTAACAAGATTTTTGACTAGGATAATGGCACAGAAAGTTGCAGTCAACACTAGACTCAGTTGCTGCTCTTTTAAGGGCCCGTGATCACGCTCTGATTACAGTCTATACATTATACACACAGGTGGACACATTGGAAGAATGCTTCTCCAAAAGGACAATGTGCGAAAGGCAGAGAGGAAAGAGAGGAAAACTAAAAGTGTCGGGCAAGAAAAAAAAAAATAGGAGAAAAAGTTGATGACAGCTGGTATGTGGATGGCCACAATTTTGCAATGAAAGAAGTACAACTTTTGCTGAAAGTCTTCCCAGTTCAGTGGTAAACATAACGAAGCCAATTAAAAACACATATATATCAGAGGGAAATACTGAGCAAATGACAYAACCGGAAGTTATGAAACAGTAGTCTGCAAAGAAAACTAAGAAGAAACACAATTACATCAATATCAGCACTACGGCACAGAACACTTCAAGAAAAAAGAATACTTTAGCAAYGGCACAGACCCACTAATATATGGAGATGGCAACATTTAGCAGGGCAGGCAGAAGTATTCCAAAATACTGCAATTCCTTTCAGAAGTGGAGGAGAAAGACGGAACGAGGTTTTTTATTACGGACCATGCTGAAATATTTTACAGTCTGTAAGGATCTGAGAAATATTCTAGAAAAAATCTGCTAAGGGAGTATTTATACTTTAWTTATAAAGTATTTATATGTTATCCAAAATTACTAAAAGATCTGGTCAAATGCACATCTGATCTGATATTAATTTTGCAAAATGAATGAAACTTCAAAACACTGGGGAAGTCTTAATGTTGCCTTACAAAAAAAGATCCAAATAATAACAATTAACAGAATGACACAAGWAATCACAGGTAACTACAGGCTGGCAGCTCGCCACTGCCTAAACATTAACTGAATCCCATGTTGGGATTTGGTGAAAAATAGGAACATAATAAATGCTCCTATAATAAAATGCTTTTTATGGAAAGCAGGTCTAGCTAAAAAAAACTGATTTGACCCTTTGATAAACTATGAGCTTTATTGATAAAGATATCCAACAGAAATAACTGACTTCACACTGCATGGTCTTCCAACTAAAAAGTTAGCATGCATAGTATTTATAATGAACATACTGAATAGATTAGGAACATGACAACTAACAGATGTCAAAAAATAGTMGTTAGCAGAAAGAGCTGCAGAGTGGAAGTGTTTCCAGTTTAGATCTACAAGGTTTAGTGTTATATCCATCCTACTCAATGGCTTTCGCAGTCATCTGGAAGTAAACAGAATCTCTGTTKAAAGAAGGTGCAAACAACTAACAGACTGTTAGGGGTGGTCATGCAGGCTGGTCATTCAGTTTTTATAGTCACAGCTAAAAGAATTTTAATCCCACCAAGACCTAAGTTATATCTACAGGAACGAAGAAGAGCAGCCCTACCCTGCAATGGATGAATGAGTTTCTGGAAAGTGGTAAGCAAAAGAAGCTGAGTATTTGTAAACAACAAATTCAAAAAGGAGCTTCTAACCTGATGTTGCTGCAAAATGAGATGTCATTCTAGGACATATAAATGGGTAGATGATAAGTAGAAAGAGGAATGTGATTTTACCTTCTGGTAACACTACTGGTGAGACCAACATCCAAAATGTTTTATGTAGTTATATTTTTTCACATTTTAAAAGGAATGTAGGAGAAAGGAAGAAAATATTTAAAAGTGAAGGACTAGAGAAGATGTTCTGCAGACCAACCATCCACAATGATTAGTCTATTGTAATGAAGACTGTGAGAAGTTTTAGCTTTAAACCGCAAGTACCTCCATGGAGGATAAAAGGATTTTCCATTTATTTGGTCCAGAAATGCACCCTAGAGAATCATGGCATAATTTAGGTTGGAAGGACCTCTGAAGRTGACCTGGTCCAAGCCCTTTCTCAAAGTAGAGCCAGCTCTACAAGCAGGTCAAGCTGCCCAGGGACATGCCTAGCCATGGCCCGAGWAGCTCTTCAACATCTTCAGCGATGGAGATTCCACTGGCTTTTTGGACACTTGTTCCACTGCTTTGTCACCGTCATCATGAACATTGGGCAGTTCTCCCAGGATCTGGGCAAGACTTCTCTTCCCGCAACTTGTATCCATTGCCCTTTTCCTTTCACTTGCAAGTAGAGCTTCGCTCTGCCACTGTGTCATAACTACTCATTCAAGTAGTTGAAGGCAGCTGAATATGAATTTGTCTAGTTTTTAATCAGAAGTTTCACTGAATCCATCAGGCTTTACCAGAATACAGGTTTATACTGGAATAAACTAGTAAGCTAAGTAGCAAACTTTCCATGTCCTGCTATCTATAATCACAAGATCCTTCTTGAAGATGTGCCCAACTAAAGAATTATGCTTTGGACAGACAAGCTATGTGACTCATGTGACTCACCTGAGGGTACCTGGATGAAATTGAGATATAATACACATAAGATSAGAGTGGATGATGACTTTGGTGCCCTTAAGTTTTACACATTTGTAGGGATTTGCTTGTAGAAGCCAAATACACATTATATAATGAAAAATTGAAAAAATAGGTATTAYGAGATTTAAGTTGCAATAACATAAACTAATACCTGAATAGTTCGATTCCTTGGCATGGTTCTCTTCATCTAAGGAAATCAATCTTAATTTGAGAGCATAAGAAAAAAAAAAGAGAGAATGCAATTTAATGCTATGGTATAATATACATTTTTTCTCAATCACATCATAGCAGAATTGTGTCAATAACAAACAAACCAATTCATATGGACTTCTCAACTTGTCATATATGCTGGTTACATGATGTTAATTCTTTCATGTGCAAACTCTGTTAAAGACAAATTAGATTAAAGACCAACAATCAAAATCTACCAATCTTCTCTTTTTAATGTAACTAAACATAAAAACTGCAGATTTCTCTAGATTTTATTTGTATAAATATAATGGAGATATAATTGTTAAAGACAAGAACAGGTTCTATTCATCTGTAATTCTTCCAGAATTTTAAATTTAGCTTGTTTTAGGAAGAAGTATGATAAGAAAATGTTTCTTTTCTCCAGCCATAAAAAAATAAAGAAAAGCTTATCTGTAAATAAGAACAAATACAATTCTGATATATCATCCCTAGAATTTGTTGGCAGTTGCCAACACACACATCTTGCACAAATCATGCATCTAATCTAGAATTTTATTTTTCAATGCCGGAGAAAAGAATTATTCATGAAATTCTTTGTTCTCATTGCATGGGGAGCAGCAGATTCATGCAGCTGCTGTGAAGGCAACCACCTGCCAAAGAGAACTTGGCTGAGCACTTTTCTAATCTGCTTAGCACCAAAACGTGCCCAATATATACACTGCTTTTGGTCAGTGGATGTGCACCTAAAAGAAAAAGAACTGGAAAACAGCACTCCTAAAAACATTATCCCCAATAGCCAAGCAAAATCCAGTAATTATCAGCCAAGCTGTTCGCTCTTCGCTGCTTTTTGACAACCGATCCTTAGCTGGGTGCTTCACGTAGCCACGGACAGTCAAAACAACAGGTGGCAGCAGGATTATGTCCACGTTGCGTCTCCTCGCAACTGAATCCCGGCGGTCCCCAAGGGGCAGGATCACATCTCGGGCTCCGGTTCGCCTCTCCCTCCAGCAGCCCATTCATCAGAGTGCCTCACCTCGGAGCTGCAGGTAACTCGAACCTCGATAGCATCAGCGCACTCAGATGGACTTTTTACCGAGCACCGGCCGCTTCTTTGGATTACCAACCAGTGCTGGATACATTACAAAAACTGAGTGCTGCCCAAAGCAATCAGGAATCCATATCCGATTCCCAGGTGTAAGGGGACGCTGCATGAGGGAGAAGGAAATACAATGCCCCCATATCTGCTCCCTTGCCTTGGGAAGCTGTCCACCATTTCTTCCATTTCTTTTACTAAAGCAAAGCAAAAAAAAAAAAAAAAAAAAAAAAAAAAAAAAAAAAAAAAAAGCCAGAAGCTGAAAAATTAAAAGAAGACTAGGAAAGATGAAAAGAGTTAAAATGAGGTTTTAATGGGACCATTTCAAACTCAATTTCACCAGAAAGGTTGGTAGTTCTCACATACGCACTACAGCTTTTTTAGGAATTTTCACCCTAAGCTTCCTACTTGCTACAGTGTTGAGAGTAGCTGGGCCTGTATTTCTAGTTACAAATGTTCAATAACCTTACCTACCAGAAAGCAGACTGCAGATGAAAATGCACATTATTTGGGGACGCAGGACATGTGACTTACTGACTCTGCTGATCTTGTGCTGATTGGGAGCTTGCAATCTGCAGGTCCTCCTTTTCCGCTCTCGCTGTTAGTTTATTCACAGGATCTTGTAAGCTCTAGGTCACAGGCAATACAGAAACGAGAAGAAAGAAAGCCAAGAGAATTAGGGAAGCAGAATTGGGTCATAAAAGGCAAAACTCTACAGAGCCTATGCAAATTAAGCAATAGATGCTTCTGAGCTGTGTCAAAGTCGTGTGAATCAAAAAAGAGAAATAACAAAAAATGTGAGGAGCTCCTCATTCCAGCTGGGTCACGGGAACACAAAGCTCACAGGCTTCATGGAAGAACACAGATCTTGCCTATTCGAAAAACAYGCTCCATTCCCAATGTTTTTAAGGAAAACACATCTAAACCAGGTGCAACACAGGTACTTGGCCACTTCTGGGGCTTCTCCTTAAGATGAGAAAGATTCATTTTTAAAACCTCTACTTTCCTCACTGAATCTCTATCTTTTTTTTTTTCCTGACACAACTTATCGAATCTCTGCACTTGTAGTGTAATGAGATTTTGCTACCCAGATCCTGCACTAACAAATGTACCATAAGGCCTTATATAGCAACTCTTTGGGAATATATAAGGGCTAAATATACCACTGGTTGTCTCTGATATGCATTAATTACCATTTCTGTAGGAAAAGCTACATAACTGAAGATAGCATTTAAATAACGGCAGCAGTTAACTACGGCTGAACATTTGGGTCTATCCAAGGGTTTTTCTACACAGATAAAATTATTTTCCACTTCTCAAGATCTGACTCAGCTTTCTGAAAAATCAAACATGTTGCACTTGAGTAGTCCCAAGTAGTTGTAATCACTTTTATTTATGACTTAGGAGTCTTACAGCCTCATCTTCCCCCTCCCTAAAAAAGTTATGGATAAAACAAATAAACCACCTTCTAGGGAAAACACATAGAACTGAAAAAAAAATGTGCCCGGAGTTTTAATGAAATGCCAGTATCTGTCATCAGAATAGCAAAACAACAACAAAAAGATCAGCACTATGTCTGTCTGCTCTGTCGAATAAAGGTTGGAGCCCTCAGTCCATCTGTTATGGTAAAAATTGTCCCACTGATCTAGCAGTGCATATTTGCACRGTACCTTTGAGCAGAACATAGGCACTAGGAGGGGCATTCCAATTTCTGCTTAAGCTGGTATTTGTCTCTGTGAGGAAATGTAAACGCCAATATATTAGAAGCCAAAGTAACGGCTTTCTCATGTGCTACAGACGGATTTTTTTCCCTCTCAGTAAGTTATTTTTTCATTCTGTTCCACAAATTAATTTGTCACGAGCACCTGAAGCACTGCAGACACTGTGCCTCAAAGGATGGCTTCAGCAGCAAAAATAAGCAGAGGCCCCAAGGAACATTTTCTTATTAGGTGATGGGCATTTCTTTTCCAAAACCAAACAAAACTGAACTCTGTTCCAGCGCTAAGCAGAGCTGCTCAGAGGGAACTGCTTGAACTGTGGAAATGGATATGTGGTCCAGGGTCCACTCCAATAAAATGTGTATAATGGTTCTGAATAACAGACGGAGCTACTTTAACTACTGCCTTATTATGAAAGTGTAAGAAAATCACCAAAAGCAAAATGTCCAGCATCTTCACAAGGGGAAAAAAAAAAAAGGAAAGAAATCAACCTCCTTCTGTATTATGATGCTTCCTTCCTTTATTGTTCAAAGTATTTCAGGAAGTACATTTTTAAAGGACTTGGATCAAATTGTGGAAACAGCATGTAGAAAGGGAGTTCACAAGTACGTTTTGGAAGGAAACAGCATGATAATAGGAGTCAGTATTTCCTGTATTAGAAAAATAAATATAAGGATGAAAGACAGCAGAGAGAGGCAGAGATTACGATGAAAATTGTTAAAAATCGGAGTCATATTTTAATGCAGTAATTGTTTAACTGATTATTTTGATATTTAGATAATATACCCTCAAATTCGGCTAGCAAATAACAAAATCATTTTCCTATCTCCTGCCTCTCTCCCTTCTTCCCTTCCACATCCCCAYGTGCACTACACACTGATAGGTCACCTTTAAAAAATAGAAAGGTTAGAGAATGGTATGAAATAAAACTGAATGTTAAAAAATAATCATAAACTGCTTTTCTCAACAACAATCCACAGCAACGTGACCACTATTGACAACCTGCATAAAAATTCAACCCACTGACACTCTGCAATGTTTCAAGTTGTATCAGAAGGAGGGAAGCACTCTCATTATCTAGAGAATGTAAATATTAAAAAAAAAAGGCTATAAATGTGAATTTATACTGACTGAATTCTGACACAAGCAAGAACACTTCAGTTTGGGGTGCAGGGGGGTCTGAAAGAGAAGAGGAAAAGCAGGTGGCCTTGGAATTTCCTCATGGAGATTTATGGAGAAGAAGGGAATCCAGAGATACAAAATTCTACGCAATCTTGAATGGTGAATAAAGTCAATAAAGGCAGGAATGAAAACGGGTGCCAGGTCAGCAGAACACAGTAACACCGTAGGACCCATTCAAACACAGTTCTATGTAAACTATGTAAGCAACAGTGTCCCGTTTTGCATGCAGATAAATGGATGCACAGAGATCCCGGCCTCCTGACTTCCTAACCCAGAACTCTTATTGCTTCTAAGTCTATATGAACTACTCAGTAAGTGTGGTATTACAGTAAAGAAATAGCAAGTGTATAGAAAATGTAACTACCAAATTATTAGATAACAACAGCAAATAAATGGTTAAAGAAATTAGAAAAAAAAAATCATTCTTGAAAGTAGCTCTTGAAATAAATTTGAACACATTCAGTACACAGTAATTCCAAGAAAATTAAACCTTTTGAGTTTTACCAGAACAGCAACCCATCATCTTTAATATTATAGTAACAGATACTTCTGCATCACAATACATGGAGTTGTTGGCACATTAATAACCATGTCTCATCAAGCATAAAGCCAGCAGTTAGGAAATACAGCTGCAATAGCACAATTATACTACCTTCAGCATACACCCTGAAGCAAAATGAAAAAAAGTGCTGCTTTTCATTAAAGGAGTTAGGCAAACAGCTCCAAAGACAATGTTTTCTCTCTAGAAACAATCATGGGAGGCATTTAAGAGTCTCTTTTTCTGAGGTGAAGCTAGCATACAAATATATTCTTACTTCAAAACACAAATAATAATTTTCTAGTGCATAACACCTTTTAATTTTCCAATATGCCACTCTACATCTAAGTGAAATATTAACATTTCTTCTTAATTCTTGTTAATTCAATTCTTGTTTTAAATTAGAAGCCTGATGCTGCATACACACGACTAGTTTAAGCTGGAAGGATCATTTGTGTGAGTGAAGCTAAGCCTTAATATCACAGCTGGAATCACAACAAAGACAAGGATGACCTGCAAGCACCAAAGTCAAAACTATAGAAAATTACCTGAGCCTCTTTACCTTTAGAAAAGATCTCTTTTAAGATATAAAATAAGAAAAATTCTAAAACAGACGGCACATGATTAAATATGTAGAAATGGGTACATTTAAGGATTTCATGCATGTTTTATGCAGTTTTATATTCTGATTAAACATTCTTAATACATAAAATGACTAGCAGATATCTCATCTTTTTTAGGGTAAAATTGGGTGATTTATGCTCTAGAACAGATGTATTTGCTACAGACTYTTTCCTCCAAGATGTCTAAATATTGCAATAAATTTTGAAAGAGCATTTGTCTCATGAAAATAAACAACCTGCTGGATATGTGAGACATTAAAGACTATATACGCAGCAAAAACACAGGATGTTCTCTTAAATTAGTCTGAAATTGGTTGTTCTCAAAGCAGACAGAAAAAGGACTTCAGGACTTGACACATCCAGAAGTTCCGAGCAGAAGAGCAAGTCGCCTGGTACCATCCTCCTGGACAGGACTCTGGCTGCCTTAAACCTGGACCRTGAGCCAGACATTGCTGTGATGGGAGGTGCTGGTGGAGAAATAAACTTGCCTTGCTGGTTTGGAGTTTAACTGGGGAGTCTGTAAGCAATTACTGGTAGCATCAGGATAATTAAATATGCCCAAACTGGAATGCTGCAGAAATCTGTTGATACACTCTGGCTAGGACCCCTATCCTCTGTGATACAGACTAGGAGAGAAGAATCATATTAACTTCATACTAATACGGACTTTTCTAGCATGACAAAACTCTTCAGGGTTAAGCTGGGAGAGTTTATGAGGCTTTTAATGATGCCCAGAACAGACTCTCTCTGTTTTCCTCTAGTCAGAAGAGGCTGAAGCTTGACATTTCTTTGTTTTTTGTTTTGATGCTTCAAGCTGCAGGAATAACAGTCTCTGCAAGCCTTCGTGCACTTCAAAGCTCAGCAACTGCTCCCTTTCKCTCCACACTCTAGCAAACAACTTTAAATATAGCATAGGCATGTACAGACAAGTTTGGTAGTCTGCAGTAAATTTAATTCCATATCTTCAGGTGTTTATTTTCCAGGAGCTCTGGGAGAGCCACAGGCTACAGCAGAGTGTAACCCAACTTCTACTACATGTAATACATGCAAACATCTCATGGACTGAGGCCATGACTTACAAGTATTTTGAAASTGGATTGTCTCTCTCAGAGCAAACTGCACTTTGCTGCAAGCTGTTCACTCCTCACTTTTCTTCTGGGGGTAATCTTGCCATGAGACGTTCTCCAGACTAAAATGCTATTTTCCTCCCATGCAAATAGAATCAGAATAACTACAGGACAAATACAACAAGAAGTAACTAGAAAGTCAATGAGCTTTTCCACTGTTTCCCCATTTCTTTAATCAATCTCCCAAGTACAAAGCAAATTCTTATGCAGGCGCAGTCTGAGTGCTTATATTCAGATACTTGCCTAAGCTCTGAATTCATAGAGTACCATCAGATTTTGAATTATTCCGTATTCAAAGTTTATAAAAGATTCACCAAATACTACTAGTCGAGCAAAACACTGTTTTCTAGAGCAGTTAAGTTGTAAAGAGTACTGAGTACAATTGTGGTACCTCTGAGCATTTCTTTATTCATGTTCACTCTGATAAAGTCTTCTTAAAGAGTAGCAGTTTTTAGAAACAGATGCAAAACCAAAATATTATTAATATGGTTGTGGGGCTTTGGAGGGCAATAGACATCCCATGTTCTGCTGGATTTACAATTCTTAGGACAAACCAAGGACAATTCTAGTGAGCACTTAAAACATATACTTAAAGAATAATGACTTCTTCTGAGATAAGACCTTAATCATGGCACTCTACATGCAGCCTTTAGTCCCAAAGGATGCAACTGCATTTGACAGACAACCTATATTTCAATGAAAAGAAACACCAGAGATAAAATAGCAACTATTGGACAAGTGTGCAAAATACGCATGTTTACTTTCTACATAGTTTGTTGTACAGTCTTTTATTTTTATCATCAAAGAAATAAACATATCTAAATAGCCCTTACCTTTAACATGGTGAATTCATATGGCTGATAACCCTTGAAACTTTCATGGATAGCTGCCATGGTGTGTGAGGTTTTTTCCCAAAAATGAAGAAGTGTAGTCTGTAATGGAAGGTAGAATTTCAATACAATATTAGCTTAAATACCAATCTGCTTTTACCAACGTTGTACAACTCTCCCATTAATAGTTATATTAATAGTTGTGCCATATCTGCATACTGCCATAGTAATGTCTTTTGAGAATGTATATTAACAGGAAATCTTTCTTTTGAAGGTCAGTGTTTTCTTTGGATACCTGATATGTGGTTAACACATGAGAAAGGAGGTTGCATCTACTTGCTCCCAAAAGGTCCACTTTTTGGCAGACATCAGTCTTCAGCTTGTCAAAGTTGAGTTTTGCATGCCGCACTTGAGCTTGGACCTTCAAACAAAGGGACAACTGTTTATGTAGTAACACTTTGCTTTTTTCATTTTTCTACCACAATTTAATCAAAAAGGAACACTAACGCAACTTTTAAGAAAATTAGAAACTGAACGGACTTACTTAAGAATTATACATTAGTTTATTATATAGTATCATGTTCACAGAAATCAAGAAGTGGCAGGCTAGAATACACTAATTCTTCATATTGTCTATATTCCACATAACTATTATATTTGGCGAATAAACTTGTTTTTTTATCCCTGTATGCCAGATGAAGTATTAAATATATCCTGAGAAGAGAATAATTAGATAATCTTGGTGTCTTTTTACAGAAATAACAATTTAAAGCCTGATGAACAAATTGGGAACTATGTGCTTACTACACAATATACATGCACGCATAGACATCTACATGCACCTATAGTAAGAAAGAAATTATATTGATAAAATATTAAGTCATTGATCAGCAGCTCTTGTTCACAGTACAGCACTGCAATAACTCTGAACTGCTAAAAAAGATTTAGCACAACAGCCCTTAGGGAGATTTTGCATGAAACATCAATGTAACATTTATCTGAGYGTGCAACTACTGTCTCTTTTAAAAAAGTGAACATTTAAAAGAGAAATAGATGATCCACTTGACCCAATGGAGAATACAAGCGTAGGTTTGATATGTCAATACAGATGATTAAAATACTTAATACAGTGCTGTGTTACCAAATGCTTCACTGTTTTCTTACCAGCTACAGAAGAGGCAATACTATGAGAACCATGAAATTAATGACTCTATTTCACATTTTGGTGTAGTGAACGTGTGCAGCAGGGCAGGACAGCCAAGAAAGAACACTTTGCAATACATCAGCATGAGCTTTTGCCTTTTATGTGGGCCTAAAAATGCATTTTCAATCCAAATGATTAGTAAACATCTTTTAAAGATTACCTGTAGCTTCAGGAATTAAGTCAAAATCCGTTACCCTTATGAATCATCATCTACTTAATACCACACAAGCTACCAGGCTGAACCTTTGGTTTTCTACTCAAGGGAAAGCTGATGTAACACGCACCAACCTTCTCCTTTCTCTGCAATTACTTTTTAGGACATCACAGACAAAAGGACCTCAAGTGGCCTCAGTCCTGCAAATTCTTAGGTGTATATTTAGCTTCATTAAAGCTGCACACACAACAGGTGATCAAAATCCTGCTCTGAAAAGAGCTCCAGGATTTTACAGGCTGTTAGGGAACTACCCCAACCTCAATGTGATGAGCATTTCACAGAGAATGCATCAGCTCCTCAAYATCTGGGCAAAGCAGTTGCAGCTTGTGATCTATAGCTCTATATTCTATAGAAATTTATGCTGACAAGAAAATTTCATTACGGTGAAATACAAAAGCTACTGCTCTGAACCCACTCCTTTCTCCTAGCAGCTCCCTGGAGAAACTACTTTTAATTCCTCAAATGCAAACATCTAAATACTATATTTAAGGGACAGAATTCTTTAAAGAGAGCACAGGGTAAAACAGAAATTTGGGAAGCCGTATCTGATCAGACCAAAAGCTTAAAAAAATGGACAAAGCCCAGATAAAACTGAAATTACTTTAGAAGAGAAAAAATTATGCTAAGATCCTAAGTCTGGTGGGCTCGAARGCCAAACTCTGGCATGCTTGATTGTGAAGGCCATTATTTGCAAACACAGGGTTCCTAAAACCGAAGGCCAATAGCAAAGTCCCAATCTTCAAGGGTGCTAGCATCAAAAAAAGAGTTCAGATTCCACCAAAAAAAAGATCATTTAGTAACTGTAGTAAACTAATATACAGATTAATCATGTATTTTCAAGGATCTTTTATGTCCCCTCTAATATTTCTGTGTTACTACTGCTTTTTAGCATACCATAAAATGCACAATTCACTTCCAGTAGCAGCTCAATTTCAGGGACGATCCAGCTGGTGAAGCGTCATCTCCAGAATGAACTTAGGTGGGATAAACTCATTTTATAGACAGCACATCTTTGCCTCTGCATTTCCAACCCAGAAGCAGAAAGAGATGCTTCCCCTTCAGACCATCACCCAGCCCCTCACCTACTTGATCCCAAAAGCATCCACAATGTGTGTGCAGAGGTGGGTAAGTAAATCAGGAGAGGAAAAACACCTGGAAAATAGCAAACCTTCCTAACAGGGGCTCTGGGTAAACTCCACCATCAGATTAAATCAGCACAAATCTCTGTGTTAAATAAATCTAGTACTTTTCTGGCCAAGAAATCACTGGAAAGACTACGTGAAACTCAAACGCGCACTGAATAGTTTGAACTTGAAGGACGAGCTCTTTATCTATGGCATTATAACAAGGAGCATCATTACACTTTAACACCAACATACACAAGGATTCATACGCTGTTTGTTTTTAATTCGAGATTGATGCCTGCTAATCTAAGAGCAGAAAAGACTGTGGGTTTTATACAAAACAACGCCTGAAATTAAACTGCTCCACGTGCAATGTTAGGTGTTCCAGAGCCCTGAGCAGTACTAATCTTGATTCCYGCATGGTTTGGTATGTTCTGCATCTTGCCAGCTATACTTCAATTCAACCATTCTTTTGACTTGAAATAGGATTTATCTATTAAGCTCTGTTCCATGAAGCTGTAGGAATAATATATAAGAACAATGATTAAAGACAAGGTAGGACACTTTTGTTAACATACATTAGGCTGTGTTATTAAAATATTTTATTATGATCTGATAAGAAATATTGATAAAAATGCATTTTAGGAGGTAAAATTTATAATGTGAGAAACACCTAGATAAAGAGGAAAGCTATTTGGATAGTGCAATATATCCAAATAAAATCTCTCAGGTTTGAAGCTCAGCTTCAAACACCAGCAGCTTCAAAACTGAACATCAGATTTGTTCAAGAAATGGAACTCTATTCTTGAAAGAGACAATATGAATTTCAGCAACCCAGCAGGGAATGCTTTGCAAGTGCCAAGGACACATTTTCTCAAGTTCACCATTAAGACTGTCTGTACTTGCGCGTGCATCCCCTTGYACCTTATCCTATTAAAATTGATTAAGCAAAGTTGCAACTGTGTTGCAGTTCCTGCAAAAGACTTCATTGACACTGCGTGGCTGCCTTTCTTGCTCCTGAAAGCAAGAGAAGGATGTTCTGCCTTCTTGACACAAAAGTACATCAGGGAAGACCAATCTGAAATGGGTATTTCACTGTTTGGAGAAGAAAAGCTCCAGGTATGCTTGCTGTATGGCCAGTCTGCTTCCTCCTATTCCTATGCAGGACTTGTGGAATTGTTACTCATGAATGAAAACCCCAGTCACTACAGCAGGATGGCAAAAAAAAAAAAAAAAAAGAAAAAAAAAGAAAAAAAAAGCGCTCTGCCATTCTATAGTATCATAAAAATGCAGCTTAATAAAGATTAGTGTAACAGTAGCAGAATTCCACTGTATTTACCGGGATCAGATAAGACATTGGAAAAAATATGTTTCTATGGCAAACTGCTATATCTGAAACATCTCGCCACAAATGATCCCAAAGTCTTCACTATACCCTGGTAAAAGTGTTATTTTTCCTTTAGTTCATAATGTATTTTTTCTAATTGGAACAGTAAAATCCTTAKGATTTTAGCATGTGCTTTGCTCACACTATGACAAAACTGGCTACAGGAAAACAAACTGGGGAAACATCCCACTATAACTGAAGTGTTATTCCCCTAAGTACTGTATTTGAACCACACGAGCTAGAATGATTCTTACACTCGGTCCTCCTCCTCACAAAATGAGATCATTTATTCAAAACCAGGATTTTTATCCATCACTAATCAGAACGTGAAACATAACAGCTGCAATAACTTTAATTCCTGCATAATGAGAACAATAGCCTCTGAYGATAGTTCACATTTTCATTTGAATATGTGAATATTTCCTTTGATTTCGACGGTATTGCTAATTACTACCATTAAACATTTGCATTGTGGCAGTTGTCCAAGGCTTCAATGATACCAGGTCCCATTCTACTCGAGAGCAAAAAGCTCTGAAGAAATCACAGACACGTCCCGGGGTTACGGAATACGTGGGGGCCTAAGAGATTTTGTCTCGAGCACGAGGGTGGAGGGCACCCATGGGCRCTCAGGTCCAGCACCACCATTCCCGACTTCCAAAGCGTCATCGTTCTCCGAGGGCCCCCTGCATCACACACGAGGGCAGCGCCGCCACGGCCCCTACAGACTCTTCCAGAGACCCTATATRTAATAAATATATAAGCACCCCTAGCGTGCAGGCTGCTGTGAAGATAGGACTGAACTCTTCTATCTACACTCCAGCTTTTGAGGATGCTCTTGTACATTGTGTATCAGGGCTCAGGGGCAAGGCCACGAAACTGTAACCTCCCCCCCCCTTCCATTCACCTATCCTTCTCAGCAAGAAGGAGGATAATAAAGATGCTATAAACATAAGAATATTTGTGTGCCATGCAAGGATTATATGACAGAACTAAGTTTCATATGGACACTTTATACTGACACATGATAGTCTTGATGCAACAAATAGCTCTGAAATGATGTGCAGCAAGCAGCTGATATTGCAACACAGACTCTAGGGTCCATGAAATGAATAGAAATAAAAGAAGGCTTCTTGTGTTCTGGTCCATCTGTATCTCTCCAGTTCACGCTATGTTACTGTTTTTTAATTATTATTTTTTTTTAATCAAGGAATTGATCATGTTGTGGTAGCTCTTCTGCTTGAAACATACCACACTGCCTCGTGACATTGAATAAATCTGAAACGAAGAATTTTCAGGAGCTTTTTAGGAAGGTATTTATAAGGAACTTCTCTCTGCAAAGTTACAGCACTCGGAACCTAAACTATATTACACATAGTGCTTTTTCTTTTTTCATTAGTGTATCATCTCCCATAACGGAACAGAACAACCTGACAGCTCTTAAGCTTGAGGATGAAAGTAATTACAACCTTAAAAAACCTCTACATCTGGAAAA